TTTTTGTAGACTAAGATATCCAGGAAGGGAAGTTGGTTGTTCGCTTCTGTTTCCATGGTGAACTGTATTTTGGGGTGTAGGCTGTTGAGGTGTGTGAGGAAGTTGTCCAGTTTTTCTTTCCCGTGTGGCCAGATTATGAAGGTGTCGTCTACGTATCTGAGCCAGAGTTTGGGTTTGTGATCAGATTTTTCTAGAGCTTGGGTTTCAAAGTGTTCCATGTAGAGGTTAGCAATGACAGGTGAGAGGGGTGATCCCATGGGTGCTCCTTCTATTTGTTTGTATTTTTGTCCATTATAGATGAAGTATGTGTTGGATAGGCAGTGGTTGGTCAGCTCTAGGATGTGCTTGGGGGAGTTATATTTGTTTTGGATAGCTGTTAAGGCTTCTTTGATTGGCACTTGGGTGAAGAGGGATATGACATCGAAGCTCACGAGTAGGTCGCTGGGCTGTAAGTTTTGTTTCTTTATGATCTCTATGAACTGGAATGAGTTTTTTACATGTGAGTTGATGGATTCTGCATAGGACTGTAGTTGTTTGGCGAGAAATTTGGCTAGGTTTTGTAGAGGTGAGCCTATGGAGCTGACTATGGGTCTAAGTGGGGTTCCTTCTTTTTGTATCTTGGGGAGACCATAGAGCTTAGGGCATCTGGATGATTTCTCTCTGGGAATGATTCTTTGCTGGATCTCTTCGCTGATGGGGGAGGCTTTTATTTTGGATCTAGTGGTTTTTTCCAGGTAGGTGGTGGGATCTGTGTTTAGGGGTTTGTATGTGGAGTCTTGGAGTAGGTTGGTTAATTTGGTTTGGTAGTCAGATGTGTTCATAACCACCGTGGCGTTTCCCTTGTCTGCTGGTAGGATTATTATGCTAGTGTCTTTTTTCAGGTTAAGTAGTGCTGTCTGTTCCTCTTTGGGTAAGTTGCTTTTGGGTGGCTTGCTCCTAGAAGCATTGTTCCTAGAAGCATGAAGCTGAGAACACCAGCCTGAAGATGACGAATGAGACTTCGTCGAAACGTTGCCAAGAAACCTCCAATTTTACGCGGGAGAAAACCCGAATAACCAAAGACCTACATATATATATATATAAAATAATTTTTGGCAGAATATGTGTTATTTCTTGTTTTTGTTTCACTCTATGATTTGTATAATTACTTTGACCAGACATCTTGTAAATATGTCTTAGCAGAATCTCCTGCTGAGATCAGGACAGCTTTAAGACTGAATACCCATAACTAAAAGGTCTTCTATTCTCAATTGCTTTACAGTATGAAGTCTCAGTTGATTCTGTATTTCAGTCAGTGTTACTTTCTGTAGAAGGGTGACATTAACAACATGCAGGAAGATCTGTTTAAAATGGCAAATGATTTATGAATATGTAACAATTAGAAAAAACGATTTACAAGGACAGGCCCCTTTCTCTTCAATTGGCGTATGATTTGAAATATGTTGATTTATAAATTTTTGCAGTTAGCATCTTCTTAACATTGAAGAAGGATAAAGACAAGACCGAAATCTCTCCTGAAAAGTGAGTATTTTCTCCCTTTCCTTTCTAAAGCTAAAGTGGCCCTTGGTTCCTGAAGCTATTTTCTTCTAAGTAAATGCTTATTAATTCAGTAATTAGTTTTTTGTTCTGCTGGAGGCCAAGAGCTCAAGGCAATCTATGTAGCAGTTTCTCCTTCAATATTTACCTCTGGAAGTTATGGGTGCTTCATCACTGGCAGTTTCTAAGAAGAGACTGGGCAGCCGTTTGTCCGGAATGGTATAGGGCAGAGATTTCCAAACTTTTCAGTCTGAAGGCCGTATTGGATATTTTGTAAACATTCAAGGGGCAGGAGAAAAAAAAAATCAATGAACGAATAAATGAGCGAATATAGTTTAATTGATTGGATGTGTTTTAATTTGCTCAGTGTGATATGATTCACAACCACAGATAAAAAAGAAATGTATAACTGAATATCTACACTAAGTGAAGAGCAGTGGGTGCCATTGGGTCTTATATCTGGGGCATAAAACTTAAAAAGAGAGAGAAGCTATACTGGTACCCAACCAGTCCAACAAGTGCCCAACCAGTCCAGATCACTCCTCTCCCCCTTGCAGGCAAAGGAAGCAACCCTCCAGCCATCTTCCTCTTCCTTGTCCAGCTGGCTCTGAGCCAGTTTGGAAAGGACTTTCTTTGCACGGTGGCAGAGAAATGATCCAAGGGCGGTGGGGGGGGGGCGGCTCTTGGATCACTCCTCCCCAGCAAAGGAAGTAAAAGAAACAACCGTCCAGCCAGCACAAATTTTAAAGCCGGCACAAATTTTAAAGGGGAAGATGCTTCCCTTTCCTTCTCCAGCGATCTTTCAGCTGGCTTGTAAATCCCCCTCCCCTTCAGTGAAATTGAGAAAATGCTACCTTCCTTTCCAAAAACTGGGGAATATAATCCTGCTTTCTCTCCTTGTGCTGTTTGGAAAGAATTGGAGCATAGCACATAGGAGGAGCTGGCAAGCTAGAAGGAACCTTTTGGAAGTCAGATATAGTCTGTGGACCATAGTTTGGAGACCTCTTGCTTTAGGGTCTCCTGCCTAAGCAGGAGTTTGAACTAAATGACCTCCAAGGTGCCTTCCAACTCTATTGTCTATGGAGATTCTCAGTCATCCAGGTCATGGTTGTGCTTTTTCAAGCTCTGAGCTGAAGGAACTTCTTGAATGAGAAGCAAAGCATCTTCAAAGAAAAACCAAGAAGTCCAGTTGCCTCTTGAAAAACACCTTTGGAATTCCAACCCGATTATTCTATGTTTTGTGTTTTAACTCTGTGAGGTAGAAAGAGCTGGGCTATTGTGAATGGCTCTGAATCTGAAAGAGTACTAAGAGGACTTTATTTTATTTTACTTATGTATTTCTTTCTTTCTTTCTTTCTTTTCCTATTTCTTAATGACCAATTTCCACCAGAGAGAGGCTTTGGGTGGTGTATAGTGCAACTTGAACAGGGCTGGGAAATTCTGGAAGTTGAAGTTCACACATTTTAAAGCTTCCAAAGTTTTAAAAAATCTGATTTAGATGCTAGTTTGGAAAAATATGTCAAGGACGAGGGGGATTTTCATATGTTGGGGAGAAAGGACTCTAAGGGCTCCTTTTCTTCTTCTTTAGAAATCTAATCAACTCAAGCATGGTTTTTGGGAAAAATGTGACTAAAGAAGGTAATTCTTATTTTGCTGTCATGTAATGCACATTTGTAGAGAGCATGACACTTCATAGCATTTTTCAAATAAATTGTATAAATTGCATATGAAAGTAATAATATGCAAAGAGAATTTCCAGTTCTCTTCTCAAAAAATAAATTGCAAATAAATATGCTGAGGTTTTTCAAGATGTAGGCTGATTACTTTTCAAATAACAGCATTCAACAAAGAAATCTCTTTCATGTGGCATTTCTATGCATAAGAATTGACAGAATATGTAACGGAAGACAGTATTCCTGAGCTCAGTAAATTAGCATTGAATTATTATTAATTAGATTTGTATCCTCCCTTATTTTGTACAATTATTTTGTACTCACCTCCTTTTCTCCCCACAACAACAAGAGAGATGAGTGAAATGAATTGAGCTAAGAGAGAATGACTGGCCAAATGTCCCTCTGCCAGCTTTCATGTCTATAAGAGTCTTCCACATTTTAACCCAGCAATTGACATGCTACAACAAACTGCCTCTCTAAATACTGTTAAATACTGGTGAGATCAATGGGACAAGTGTATAAGACTGTGCCATTTAATGTGTGAAGCCTGTTTAGTTGCAGCAGATGGCAACATCTAGTTAGCAGTGTCTGGGTTTAGAAACCAAGTAAGATCAGGCTTCCTACTGCTTGGTTATACTGTAGGCTTCAAGGGAAATTTAAAAAAAAAAGTTCAAGGCAAACCACTTCTGTCTTAATGAAAAGAAAGGAGTAAAGGAAGGAAACAGAAAAGGGGGACTTAGATGCTAGTCAACTACTATGATGAGTTGAGACACTGCCCAAGGTTTTTAGGTATTTAAGAAATCTCATATCTGGAACCAATCCACTGTGAAAGTTTTGTTCATTTTACATGCCCTGGTACCAATTATTTGCAAAAAGAAGACAATCCTACATTCTAAGGCAGTTCTTCCTTTCCCTCAAAAGAAAGAATAGATAAGCAACATACCTTGTGTAATGATCTATTTCTCCAAACCAAGTCAACCTCAGGGTACCAACTCCAGTGCATACCAAGAGATTTTGTTTTCTACGTAAAGAATATGCACTATAGGTGTATATGCATATATGCCTGTCAAAAGTCACATTCCAAGAAAAGAGAAGGGCCAGGGTTGTCCCTCTCACAAAAACAGCCTAATTTGAATGAATTGAATGAATAAAAATCAATCAAAATTAACTACTTGTAAAATAAGACCCCATTATACTTGATCTTTCCTTGCATGTATCAACAGTTCTGTTTTTTTAATATGCCAAATTAAACAAGTGCGAACACACATTCCTCTGCTACCTTTAATCAGAAACAGAAAAAAGGGGAAGTTGAAGATGGAGTAAGAGGAAGTGTGAGAAAGGGAAAAAAACCAGATATGGTTGAGGTGAGTAGGGAAGGAATGGGGTAGGGAAGACAGTAGGGAAGGGTAGGGAAGGAAGGAAGAAAGGGAAAAAGAGAGAAATCATGTTTAGTAATTGCAAAGAAAATTTAGATTCACCAGTCAACTATTGCTGTCAAGCAGCATCTAATTTAGAGATGCATTCACTTTGGAGCTGTGTCACCATATGAGCTGGCTAACTCACTGCTCACTGCAGGAGTTCAATTCTGACTGGCTCAATGTTGACTCAGCCTTCCATCCTTCTGAGGTCAGTAAAATGAGGAGCCAGATTATTGGAGACAATATGCTGACATTGTAAACTACTTAGAGAGGGCTGTAAAAGCACTATGAAGCAGTATATAAGTGTAACTGCTATGGCTACTGCTATACTTTGCAACAGTAGAGTCTAGTGGTTTTCTCCTTTGTTTCAGTAAGACAAATGGAAGAAGCAAGAGGCAGGAAATAATGTCTTCCCAAACCAGGATCAGAAAGAAAGAAGAGTTGCAAGGTAATGGACACCCCTCTACCCCCTTCACAACTTAGCAAAGAAATTCAGGATCACTGGTAGAGAATAAGGAAAGCTGACTCAGTCAACTTCCATTGTCCCCCTTTCCTGATTTTTCCTCCTTTTAAATTGATTGATCCCATTTTCGTTTTAGTTCTAAAAGTATTTTTGTTCCTAATTCCTGTAATATATATTTTAGCTTGCAGTGTTCCCTTTTTCTTCCTATAGCTATTTCTTCTAAAATAATTCATTTCTGAATGTAATGTTTGTCCTAATAGCTACACTCTCATGCAAATTTTTAAAAAGTTAGAGAAGTAAAATGCAGAAAAAATATAATTGTGGAAGATCACTGAGTTTCAACTAAGGTATTGATTCAAAAACAGAAATTTCTTCTTCATCTCTGTTAAAGATTACCAATGATGCTTGAAAAGGAAAAAAAAATACTCATTTCTTAGATGGCCTAACTCTTTAACATATTTTTATTGTTTTTAGTGTTTTGATTGTAATATATTTTTTGAATTTAAGCTGTTCAGAGTCATTGATTGAGATGGGTGGCTATAGGAATTGACTAAACAAATATACAGACAAATAAATAAAATGTCATAGAAGGGAAAGCTGAAATGAGAAAGGAGGACAGGAACATCTAATTGGAAGTTCAGAAAAACCAAATGCTAAGAGAGAAAAATAAAGATGGCCATGTAAAACAAATGATTAAAGAAATGACATGTTAGAGGGTTAGCCATTGAGTATTAATTTTAAAAACAACAACTCTCTGTAATTTTATATGGTGTACTTTATTATGAAATTGAGTTTTCTCTTTCTTCATCTGGAGCAAATAGAAATACTAACTTAATCTGTATAAATCATGAGATTAGGTCAGTACAGAAATTGTGTTAATAAATCAGTTGCTATTAATGGAATCAACATCTTAGTTGGATAGAGATAGCTCAAATCTGTCATTTACACAGTATTGTCATTTTTGAGGATGTATTCATTTCAGCCCAGGAAACAATTGTATTTGTTCCAATGTATCTATATTTACAGTCTGAATTATTTTATGCTGTACAGGTTATAGTGACTTACTCCTCCAGTAAATTTATTGTTTGCCCTGGTTCTAATTTATGAAATCACACTGCATACATATGGCATACACTGAATAGGCAAGAGTTGTTTTTGCTTCTGTTCTGCTTTTAACAAGCAGCTTTTGTATCTCCAGATCTTTATTGGGTAAAAGCAGAACAGAGAATACAGTAAGGGGCCTACTAAGAGATGGGACAGCTCTATAGACTTACATCTGGTTATGGAAGTATATGGAATTATTATTAGAATCTGCTCTGAAATGCCTATACAAGGAAAATGAATGAATGAGAACAGAAAAAAATAGAAAACCAGTAGTAACTTAAATTAGCTTTGAAAAAATGGAAACAAGGTTTGGGAACTTTAAAGAATAAGATATACATACATACATACATACATACATACATACATACATACATACATTGACCAGCAGTTATCACTTAGAAAAACTTTTTTATTTTCACATAGAGATATGAATTATGATGTGTAGAAGCTGAAATCATCTGCATTTTTCTTGATTATTTTCATTTTTTTTTCTTCCAGAAACAATCTGTGGGGAGAAACATTTTAGAGCTTTCTCAGTTTTACAGAACATTTTCTACAGTTGAATGCTAATTCTCCTGCCCCGCCTCCACCCCTTTTATACTTCCTCGTCAAAACCTGCCTTTATGAGAGACCCATATTATTAAATAGCCGGCTGCACCAATGATTTCTACTGCTTTGAGTGGCATTTCTCACCCCACCGATCATTACCCAAACACACTTTGCTGCTAATTTCCTGGAAGATTCAAATGTTCTTCTTTCAAGGTCATCTCAAAGGATAGTTTAAAGAGCTTTTTTCGCCTGTAAAATATGTATATTTACAAAAGCATGCATAAATGGTCACCAAGGAAGATAAGCTATCAGAGAGTAAAAAGATGTCTTTTCTTATACAGTTCACACACCAGTGAAGCAGATAAAATTGGTTTTGTACCTAGCCTATGAATACACTGTTAGGAACTCTGTCCTGAAAATTGATCTATACTACTGAGATAAAATTGAATGCACCTCTTTTCATAAATATCTAACTGTGCTATTAAAATGTGATGGTGCTTGCCTAAATACCCATCAGCTACAGTTCCACCACCTTGAAGCATATCACATGCAAAAGGGATCTTTGTGATGGACTGTGTAAGGACATGCTAGGTTTCATCAAACATATGTAGAAGCCACCAAAAATATTTCTGCACAGCAGCAATTGTTAAAACTTGCAGATCATTTACTGCATCTTATGGCCCAGTCATATTATTAGAAGATGAACAGCTTTGAATGGTAATTCAGAAGGATTGGGTCTTTTTCATACATGAATATGAAGGCAATAATAAGGAATGGAAGGATTTGCCAATTTGAGCAAATACATTAGAGGAATTCATCAAAATGATAAAACTAAGCTCAGTGTTTGAAAAGATTCTCTGTTCACCTAAACATGCTATAGCATCTCAAACTCTGTTTAAGCCTTGTATGATTTTTTTACAAAGTCCAGTTAAAAAGGACCGGCAAACCTCTTCTTCTAAATTTCCATCCCCCCACCCCTGTGATTATTAAGGAACAGATATCCTGTGGGAGAACCACACAGCTGATGATTGCTTCAAGTAGTAGAGGTATTTGTATGAAGTTCATTTGTGGCTGAATGTATTTCTTAGACATATGAGGTAGCTAAGAACCCTACAAGAAAAATCATGTAACTAAATTCATAAGAAAACAGAAGTCATTTTTATTTTTTTATTAAATGAAAACCTGACAATAAAAATCATGACCATTCCAAGAAAGTAAAATAATGAAATAATGCATATAGCCACTAGTAAGCCTTGATATCACATACCAGTTAATAGATTCTAAGTCTTGAATTCTGAGGTAATTCCATACCAACAAAAGAATAATAACCATACCATATTAAACACAGTTAGGGAAGTGGTGTCATATGTTATAGTCACTCCATTCCATGACCCCCTTTCCTTTCTTCTTATGCTTGTTTCAAATGCATTTTCTGCTCTTACTGCAAAATCTCCGTTTGTTACTAACTATTGGATGCAAATTCAAAATTGTCCTGGAAGGGGGTAACTTGAGTTCCTAGCAAGGCTTTCCAAATAAGTCCACGCTTTGTGACGGTCAAAGTTAAAAACCTGAGAGTCACATCGCGTTACCTGAAATCTGGCTTGTGCATATTTGGATTGGACCTTGGCCAATTCCTGCTTCGTGGATTACTTTTTGCTACTGAACCGGACTGAGGAGAAACTCTCTCTTGCTGACTGTGAGTGAAAACTGACTTGGCAGGCATTTCACAGTTTACTGCCAAAACTCTTATCTGCAAGGTTTTCTAGTCTGATTGCTTAATAAAATCTTAGCAGGCGTGCCTGGTTGTGTGTTTGCCTGTGTGGGGAAGGGGGACAGAACATCGTCTATATTATGGTTGATCATACATTCTGGATCTGGATTTTTTTTTCACCTATTGAACCCTTCCCAAGGCAGATGTTGTTATGTAAAGGTGTTAATGGTATTGTCATAGAAGTAAAGATGCTTTTTGAGATTCACTAAAGATGATTTTGCCAATACCAATGGTGTTCAAGTGGTACTCTAGATGCTAAGGTGTCCATTATTATTATTGGTGCTATATTTTCTTTCTTTTGCTATAATAATATAACAATTTGCAAGTATACTTATATTTTTCTCCATTTTTTTCTCTTTTTTCTGCTGTCTCCAGGTATTATAATACTTTCTATCTAGACTATATTGTCTTTCTTATCAGAATTGTTGGGTCCGGGCTGCCTTTGTTTGCATTCTAAAGTCCCAGAGCTCATTTAAGCTTGCAGTTCTTCCAATTCCACTTCTGTGAATACTTTATTTCATATTATAAATCAATGTTGATCTGCTAGCTTCCATTCGGTAATTTCTGATTCTGGATGTTGTTCTTTCCAAAACTGGTGCTTTCTTTGCAAATATAGTTTTTTCATTGGATTTGATTTGTAATAGCAAAGTATTATTTCTTTTTCTTTCTTTCTTTTTTATATATTTGTGGGTAAGCAACTTTTCTTCCAGTAGTCTTGAAACTGCTGGTTCTGATTGTCAGCCAATAGTCCTGAGTCCTGTAGCCCATTTGTCACCAGATGTCCAGCACAGTGGTGGGTTGCCCCCGGTTCGGACCGGTTCGCAAGAACCGGTAGTAAAACTGGTGGGAGACCCCACCCACCACCCCGGATGTCATCATCAGTGATCTGCACATGCGCAGAAGGTTCTGTGCATGCGCAGAAGCAAGGCGCACATGCTTGCTTTGCTCGCTCCTGCGCAACCCCATTACTGGTAGTAAAGGTAAGTAGAACCCACCCCTGGTCCACGAGCTCCAACACCTAGCATAGCCCTTGTTAATCTGGGTGATGACTGATCACCTATATGGTTCTATAAGTTACTTCTCACCATATTGTATTCTGATGAGACCTGTCTAGTAGGGTTGAATTTCTGGCATAGCTCTCATCTTCTTCAGAGCACACAAGCTTACAATCACATTAAGACAGTGCCTCACTAGGTGATTGTTGTTGCTGTTGTTGTTGTGCTTCTATAAATAGAAATATCACTGTAGATTGGACAAAAGCATAGAATTGTTGATATTCTATAGAATTCTAAGTAGAAAGTAAGCACTTTCTGTAAAATAAATGCTCTGCAAACTGTCTGGTTTGTTTCATCAATTTTTCCTTAAGAAACCTAAGGTGGCATACCTAATATCACCTGTTCTATTTTCTTTTCCTCACAAGAACCTAGCTATATCTTGGTTGAGCAATGTTCACAGACTGGAATCAGTTAGGGAAAAATGAGGTTATACAAGCTTGGCATAAATTATAGCTGGAAATGACTCAGTTAATTTGTCCACTATTGGGGAGAAAGGGGGAAAAAGAATAAAAGGTGTTAACTTCGAACTCTTTTTAGCACAGTAGAAGATAATAACATCACAGCCTAATTTTTTACTTTTATGCAATAATAAAAACTAGACATTTCTATAACAACAAACCCATCTAATCAGCAAAATCAAAATTTCATTTTTTTTTCACCACAAGTACAAAATCCAGAAGCTATTTCCAAATGGTAATTTGGAAAGATTTCCCTTCTATCCCATACTTTCTCCTTTTCTCTTTTCCCTCCCTTAGTTTCCCAATATTTTCATTTTCTTTATATTTTATACTCTGAGAAACTAATAAAATTTTTAACTAGCTTATTTGGCTACCATTTGGGGGATGGGGAGAGCCAAGTACACTTTGAAGTCTAGATGTATTTGGGATATTTTTGTATTTTAAAGTCAAGAAAATAATTTGGTAAAGTTGATTATCCCACTAAAAACATGCTGTGGAAGTTGATACATCTGAGTGTTTGATGCTGGATCTCTACATTGAAGTTACATATTTATAAATTACTTTCAAACTACAGTGATCTAATCCCTGATAATTACTGCAGCACTTTCTTTGTTGAATTATTTGTACATTGTGTCAAAGAAGAATAATTATTCTGTTCTAACAGTATACAATATACACAATTGGATGTTCTGAACAGGACCATGGGAGGATTGGAAAAAAGTATACTTTTAAGAGCAAGAGACTTATCATTCCAACTCTGTTGATACAACAGCCAGAAAGCATATTGCTTCTGACCTGGATGTATCAGATAGCCATAATAATTAGTTATTATTCCCAACTTTATTCTATGTCTTGCATTGACAAATTTTAACTCTAACTAGGCCTTATGTGAATAAAGACTTCCCTTTATCTGTCCTGAAATTTCTAATGTTCAACTTGACCCCAGGTTTCACAAGAATGGGAACAAAGTTTCTCTCCGTCCATTTTTTCCAATTCCATTCAATGCATAACTTTCTACCTCGTTCTGCTAACCTTAGGAGTCTAAACCTAAGGTGTTTTGTGGATCCCACTGCTGTAGAGATATCTTCCTTGGTAGTCTTGGGAAATTAGTGTGCTGTAAGCAAAGCCACCAGCTTCAAGCATGACCTTTATTTATAAAACTACATTTGGAACTCTAAGAGGCATTCTTAGATTTTTTTTTAATGGTGGCATTTTTGGTCCAGTGCTTTGATTGGAACACTTTTATCTGCTCGTCAAATAAGACAATACTATTGTAAACAAGAATAGTAGAGAGCAAGGTGGGAAGGAGAATGAGGCAACTTTTCAAATTTGCCCTCTGCCTTCTTGCCTCAGCTTTGACATTTTGTTTTCAACCTCTTACACTGGACCAACATTTCTATTAAATGATCCCACAAGCAGCCCCCATTCCCTTTTTGAGCCAGTTTCTGCAGACCCTGTCAGTGTGTAGGTGAAGTGAGGATGTTACGCCCCACCGCTTTTGTGTCAAGAGGAGCTTAAAACCTGCTCACCTGAGTAATTCTATCAAGTTTGCTTTTCCTCATTCCTAAATAACATTCCTGCTCGTATCACAAATGCTGGCTGAGGTGTGTGAGAGACTTATAATCTTGCAGAAAAAAATATTAAAAAAAGCTTTAAAGGTTTTAGAAAATGGATCTTGATCAGGTTCACTTGGAGGACTGAACTTTTAGACTCCTGTTTTTGCATTTCTGGGGTTCTGGGAGCTGAAGTGGGCAAAAGACATGCTTCAATGTCTACCTAAAATGAGACAAAACCAACAACCCTTAACCTAAAATGGGCTGAAAGTTTTCAA